TGTCGCTTACGTTATTTTGGCGGTTAGGGCTCGATATTATTTTTTAAATGCCTCAAACTCTTGTAATTTCAATACCTAGTGGAAATTCGTCATTACTTCCAAAGACCCATACACATACATACATACATAACTGATACTGACGAACATAAGTTACGTCAACTGCGCGCTTGTAAGTACTAATCGACGCGAGCCTTTTTTTGAAACATTTTCAAATGATGTATATATAATCCAACTTGCATTAAGCTTTATAATGGCCAAATGTTTGAGCAATATTGTAACCAGTGTTGCCAGAAAAAAAATCATTTGGAGCTAAATCGGTCAAAAAAATAAGTAAAAATGGCTAGATAATATTAATAGTAGCTGAAATGAAGAGCTATTTTTTTTAAGTTTAGCGTTTATTGACGTAAAGTTGTTTTTGCATTTTCCGTATTTTTAATAGAAGCAACGAATTTTATAAATTTAAGTGCTGAAAAAACGTTTACAACCAAAATAAGGTTCATAGACAAATTTTTGTGTGTAGGGGGAAAAAAAGCTGTAAACATTTTGCAAAGCTATGCATGACAAGCAGTTATCAGTAGGGCTCGGAATCTCATGCACTAAAAAATCGAAAATATGCGCGTATAATATACACTCAAAATTAAAAAATATGCCCTATAAACGAGTAACATATGCAATTAAAACATTTTTCTAAATATTTTGTTGCCGGTACAAAAATAAATATCACATATATTTTAACCAGAAAAGACCGACAACAATTCATTTCAAAATGCAAGACTTATTTATGTATAAAATTATAGCCTTATTCATAAGAAATAAATTAGTTTAAAAAAGGGTTTATAAATTGAAAAAATGTATGAAAACGTCAATTTATAAAGCTTTTTAAGCCTACGTTATTTTTTATGAATAAGGCCATTAGTTTATAATCAAGCAGACAGTTGCAATCTTGTGTAAATAGAAATATTGACAGTTTAATAGTGGTTCAGATTAATGATGGTGAAATGCTATTAGCAAGTTACAGCAATTTGGGGGTTCTATGTCCCGGGACCCATATTAGGGTAATTTCGTATTGCTTAGAGATATAGGCCAGCTCTCGCCTACAGTCTTCCACTAGTTGAAATCTAGCAGAGGTACAGGGAAGAACCTTCATGACTGCATAACTATCCAAGAAGATATTCAGATAGATATTTGGGAAAACATTTTAGATATTTTTTTTCAGAAAATTTGGCACAAAATTTAATTGCTTGTAAATCAAAAAAAAAGCAAAGTATGCAAAAACCATATGCATTTATTGTCAAATATACTAAAATATGCGCGTTTAATAAGCAAAAACAGGTATTTTTTTTTTGCAAAATACGCAAAATATGCACTAACGATTAAATGCCATTTTAAAAGAAATTTTATGATTCGTAAAGATAACTTAACAATTTCCATTTGAAGATGGCCAATAAAAACATGCATTTGCAAGAGATTCCGAGCCCTAGTTATCAGCACTAGGTGCCACAGTACTATTGGAGAACAAAAACGCAACTGGTGACCAAAGCTATCGAAGCTTTCTCTCGCATCAGATGCTATTTACTCGGTTATAATTAAGCATACAAAGCGAGGAGAGTTTGCTCATATGAGACCGGCCAGTTTTAATAGACTGTTTTGTGAGTATTCGCACCAGTATGAGTGTGAAAATCTCGGAGGGCGCACCAGTTCGCCTCCAAAACCAAACTGAACGAACTGGTGCTTGTGTCTACAATGAGATAATAAAGAAACAAAATAAGCTATTATTACTCACACAGCAAAAAGGCAAGAACGAAGCTTTCAATGCAAAAGTTAATACACTCCAGGCATAACTATGGACAGAGTATGTAAATATGTACATTAATGAATTTGTATATATGTATGTACCTTAATGTGTATGGAATTAAAAATCAAAAGCGGTCTAGCGAGAAAACAAAACGATTCGCAAAAATAATGATTAGTAAAGCACAGAATTGAAAAAGACAACACTCCTAAAGCATTTTTATACTAGCGCTCTTTGGCGTAGATGAGCGCGTGGCGATGGTAGACAAATTTAAAGCGCGCGGCGTCCTATAATTCAGTCGGTGTTTGGAGAAGGTCGGTTCAGGTTCGGTTCAGTGCTTTGATTGTGGGTGAAGAGCGGGCATGTTTTTCTAATTGTTATCCACAAACTGCCAAATTTTAGCATCATAATTATTTTCAAATGCGCTTCTAAAAATTTTTTAAAAGAAGTAAATATAGAACAAATATTTATTTATTTATCGAAGTGCGGGTTGTGCAAAAACTGAAGGACATTTGCTGTCGAAAAAAGTAGCGGAGCTGTTCATAGTAGAGTAAATCACTCAAATATGGAGCGTATACTGCGTGGTATTATGCGTTATCGGAATACGACGCGCGAACAGATGGTGAAAGAATTCCAAAAAGTCCGTGATCATCCGGAGGTAAGTATCTACAAATGACCATTATTATGAGTAGATAAGCGCACGTGCATAAAAAGATAGCTACATATGTATAAAACATATTTATTTACGTACATACATACATACATACATATGTACGCATGCATACATAAATTGATAAAAACACGACCTTCGAAAATGAAATCGCCAATCTACAATAAATGTTTAAAAAGTGTGCTGTCAGTTGATGGAAAATTAAATTAGTACATTATTATGACTGAAAGTTATAAAAAAAAATTCCATAATGTTTGGCCATTAAAGTATAGCGAAATCAGAACAAGGAGTACATAATGTTGATGACATTAATCAATCGTGTTTGTGTTTGTATAAGTACATATGTACATATGTTCATAAGGTTTAATAGGGTGCCGCAGCATGAGTGATTTTGGAAAGTTTTTAAAGCATAGGCGCGGCAGATAAGCGGTTAAACAAATCAAATTTATTATTTATTTATATTAGGTATATGAAAAATTTAGAAACATTCAGGCCTAAACAAGACACACATACACATACGTACATACATACATATGTATTTAAACATGCGCTAAATTTTTTACATGTACATACATGTGTAAATAAATAAATACATACAGCCAGTCATTCTAACCTTTAAGTTCTCATCGGCTGCGCCGGTGGAGTGCAAAACTAAATATGTACGAGTATGTGCATACAAATGTGCATATCTACACATATACATACATATACAGTCGGTGTCAAATATTAGTGCACACCTTGTTCCAATATGATATTCACAATTATTTTCATGGCAAATTTTTTTCATTAATTACACTGGATCACAAATTTTTATTTGGTTTTTATTCTCCAGACGCCACTATCCAATTTCTATGTAGGCAGACTGCCAAAGGAATGGTGTGCAAACTTAAATCATTTCAAAACTAATTTGAATCAAAAAATTTTGAAGTGCAGAGTAATAGTTAGTTTTATTGTAAAACAGGGCCAGACACAAGACATCCGGGATCGAATCATATTCGAATCGGAATTTTCTTTACAGCTTTTGGTAGCGAATTCGCTTTTTCAGTTCTAAATGTATTAGAGAGAAAACATCTGTCAGTTTGTTTCATTCCATTCGAATCGTGTTTCATTCGATCACGGATGCCATGATTTGGGCCCACTTTTATGTACTACATATTTATATCTTTTTTGTTGAATATTTTATTGTTTTATAAAAAAAGTACAATTTATTCCAAGGCGAATTCATATAATAAGGTGACAGCAAAAGTTCAAAAACAAAAATTCCACTAACAAATTTTACCCATAATGACAATAAGAACTACAACAAATACATCATTTTGACATTAAAAATCCCCAAGGCGAAAATTCAGCTGCTTTGGTAACACCATCTTACCTGAATTAGCTTTCATTTATCCTAAATGAGTAAAAACTATATAATAATTTTTCTTTTAAAATAATCTACCAACTTCTACCAATTTTTGTATGCAAAATCTACCAATATTAATTTTTTCGAAGTCCGTGCACTGGTTGTATGAAATATGAGCAGAAAAGCGTGTTACTCAGGTGTACATGGTGTATGAGTAACATTATTTCCTGCTCATTTTTCATACAAAAACCGTTGCGCATTTTTATTTGACCATCTATTTTTATACATATACATAAGTGCTGTTTGCAGCTTTCAAGAAAAACGACAAATTCATATAAAATGACGCACAAGAAATGGAAACAAATTTTCTTCAATTAAAATTTCTTAAATCAGTTTGCAGTTCTCAAGAAAAATAAAAGCTAGAATATTTAGTTCTTCAAGAAAATTTACAGCAAAAGCAAAGTACTTTTTCAACTAACAGAAATAATGAAAAATATTTCTTGTGATTTTTCATGAGAACTGTCAAATCAGCCCTATAGAAGAAAATGCGCAAAACCTTCCATAAAAAAATTCTAAAAACAACCGTAATTTTTAGCGACTTGAAACCGAGGGCTTCGGAGCAAAGGCTTTATTTTCATCGCTTCGCTCCGAGCTCCGCTTTTTACTCCACTCCCACTCCCAATAAAAAACTTTTTTTTTTAAATTAGCTGACTTTGTTTTAATTTTCTTTTTGATTCAGAACATAGATATGTATGTATATACAGCTATTTATATGATCGTAATGTATATGTGTTGTCTTGTAAATAAAATGGCAGATATTTCTCCAGAAAGAAAAAGAAAAAAAAATGCGGATTTTCGTCCGTTTACCGATTCCATTTTCGGATACTTAACGATCCGTTTCTGCAGTAAATTGTGCGGCAGAAATGTATATATAGACAAGAACCGGATACGGTTTTGGCTGTTTTCCAGAATTTTTTATTTTTATTTTTCTTCAATACGCTTTCCTTCCGCACTTCACAGGTGCCTTTTCATGGTTAGAAAAAAAAGGAAGGAAGCGCCTGACGGTACTCGAATTCGATACTTTCTGAAAGCTAACAAATACTACCACGTCCAGCCTCTGCCGACTACGTATACATGCTCTTAAATGTTTAGCTTGAACAAATAAAATACATTCGAACGTTTTCCGGACATAAAAATTAATGAAAATTGTAGTTGTTTTCTGCTCGTTTCCAGGTATGAAAACCGCACTTTTTTGCACTGTTTTAGGATACGTAAATGAATGAAAATTGTAGTCGTTTTACGTTCGTTTGCGGATACAGAGAGTTGTACGAAAGGCACTGTCATCGCCGTTCAAATTTACTTGGCGATTATCCCTGACTGCTGGGCATTGCGCAATGAGCAGTATTGCCAAAGTAAAGATACAATGAAAATTTATTTAACACGGTTGTTTTCAGAGGGCAAGAATAAATAAAAAATTAAGTAAATCTTAATTTTCTTTTAGGAGCTAAGAAGGAAATGAATTATTTTAGCTCTTTGCTTCAGCTCCGTTCTAGCCAAAATCCCTTGCCGCTTACTCCTTTGCTCCGCTCCGCTCCGAAGCCCTGCTTGAAACTTGCACTTTGCTTCACTAAAATTGAACGGGCTACAAAACTGCATACCCGAAAATTTTCTAGAAATTCTAATAAAAAATTTGGAAATTGTATGAAAATTTCTTAAATTTTTGTGAAATTTATATGAAAGTTTGAAACTTTGATTTATATGGTTTATATTACAGAATGAACTATATTCTCATAAGTAATTGATGAAAAAAATTTTCTCATGAAAATAATTGTGAATATCATATTAGACAAGGTGTACACTAACATTTCACACCGACTGTATATCTTAATAATAGACATCTCTTTATAGTGGCACGCTCCGAGCGCGTTTTCTTTAGACTTCGTCATACTTGTTGTGGTTGTTATTACATTCTTGTAGACACATTATTTCTTTATTTATTTTTTCTTTTTAGTAAAAACGTGTGAGCTCAGGTGATCGGCATTATCGGCATGTTGTGCTGCTCTCACCAGACGCTATATATGAATAGGTTTGCATTGTTGTTGCTCTGTATTTTTCTCCTTAAATATCGAACTTATTCGAGAAGTGATATTCTACCAACAAAATCAGAAAAACCGGTAGCTCAGCGTGAAAAGTTGAAAGTCAATTTTTACAAATTTTAATTTGCTTTTATTTGAATATAAAAGGGGAAAGATAAAACAAGTACCTTAATAATTTTGGAATAAAAAAAAAATGTATAAAAATTTTATAGCTGTATCGATTACCAGTATCTCACTAGAACAAAAAATAGATATTCATATGTTTCGATTTTTTGAGTGAATGAGCGATATATAGGGTTGTCCTAGACCACTCGTGCACACCCTCTAAAATAGTTTTTTTTTTATTGAAAAATGCAAAAATATGATCTACAAAATCGGAGGATCTCTTTATTTTGGTGGTACAACCTACTTCCGGTTTCGACCGGAAGTGGCTTCAACTGACTGGAACTCCATTTTTTAAATTACACATGCATGTTTTTTTCTACTGGCCCGGATTATGGACTGGTAAAATGGACGAAAATGTTTTTATAGGAAAACCAAAAAAAAATAGGAATCAGCAAGTCGTTGCTATTCATAAGCTTCCGAAATGAATGTTGAAGTGGAAATATATAGAAACAATCTCGCCTCCTTGTGTATATTCTCATTTGTTTATACTATACTTAAATTAGAATGCTTTATTTTTTTTTTGTTCAGTAATTAGTGACAAAATGCGGAATATTTATTTATTATCAGTAATTCAAAGTTAAAATAATACATAATAAATTATACTTGTACATACAGTATTGGCCAATACAATAGCACCCCCATTTCAAAGTGATATTGCTTCCCACTCATGCTTATTTATTTATTTTTAGGAATGTTCAATTAAAATACAATTCATTCTATAACAAAACCCATATTAATTATTAAGTTTAAAACTTTTTAGAAAACTACAAAAAAGTTCAACAAATGTTCACAAAAACTTCAAACTTTTTCCCAGAAATGTTAGAATTTTTTTGAGTACACAGTTTTATAGCTTATTCATTTTTTTTTCGCCGAAGGTGTTGCGGGTTTGTTCCACATAAAAATAAATTGTGTTTATTCGTTATACGGAAGCAAATGCGAAAAAAAAAATTAAAAAAAATTAACGGTAATTTTTAACCCCTTGAAACTTGCACATTGTTAGACTAAATTGAATGGGCTATATATCTGCGTACTCAAAAAATTCAACACTTTTGAGAAAAAAGTTTGAAATTTAGGTGAAAATATGTTGAATATTTTTGTAGTAAAATTAATTTTTTTAATTATAGGACCTGCGCCAATCGATAGAAAACTACTCTGAGATAAAATCTCCACTTTTTCCTCCACTAGTTACCTGCGTAACACACTTTTGAGGAATTTCTGAGGAGCAACATTGCGAGCACTTATGCGCGGTTACCATTAGAATGTTGAATTAACTTCAAACAATTGGATTTGTGCTTATTATTTGAATAAAATTTTTTGCCAATAGAAGCAACAGCATTGACTTAATCGGTACATATAGAAATAGTTAAGAGAGCTGATAGAAAAATTAAACGCTGTAATATTTTTCAACTGTGAGCAATAAGTAAAATCAGTTTTTAGCAAACAACAGGGTTTTGTTGTATACAAAAAATATTGTGGCCAAATTGAATTCGGTAATTCAATTCATCCGATAGAAAAATATACAGTGACTATAATTTCTGCCTTCAAATTCGTGCCCTGTTCCATGTTTAAGAATGTATTCCGGAATGTTTGAACGCCTTCTTAGATCCTCATTTGTTTTGTTCAAAACCGTTAACGGTAAAAAATTTGAATCGAAAGGACCTAAAACTCTGAATGACCCGGAAATAGCCAAGATTTGAATTCGATAGAGAAATACTGGCTATTTTAAAAAACACGTTAACAAGAAAAGGCCTCGGAATAATACATAATTGAAAGAGGCAATCTTAAATGAGATAATAATAATAATAATACAAATATTTTGGCGCTTACACTTGTAGGCACTTGGGTTCATATAAAACGGCAACTCAAATTTATTTCAAACGAGAAAACGAATTACAAACGATGAATAATTATAACTGACTAAAATGAAAAAATGTGTATCGACCAACATGACATTGAATTTGAATTTTTAAAATTAGCACACTGAGCAACTATGTCTCGCTTGTGTACTTGTGTACAGTAGCCATAGTAGTCCCCCCGGAGTGACTCGAACTTATATGAGAAGTCATGATATTGCTACGTTGTCGTGTTTCGTAAATCCTTGAACTGGATGATCTATGCGTTGCTACTGGATGAACCAAATCCGGTAAGATTTCGACAAATGCCGGCTTAAGACGTTCAGTTGATAGCGTTGTCGAGCGACCTTCGACTTTGACCACAAAAACAGTGTCTGAAATTCGTTTCAAAATCTCAAAAGGTCCTCGATACGGCTGCTGCAATGGTTGTTTCACTTCGTCTACCCGAACAAAAACGTGTGTGCAAGTGCGCAATGATTGGTGATGGAAAGCCCTGGTTTTATTATGGTGAGCTGCCGGTTCTGATCGTATTTTGCGCATAAAATCCCGAAAATTATTTATGAACTGGAGTGGTTCTACTGTTTTACCTTGATCCAAAAAATAATCGCCTGGCAGATGCAGCGTTGTTCCATACAGCATCTCTGCCGCACTGGCATGGATGTCAGCCTTGTAACTTGTGCGAAGTCCCAGCATCACAACAGGTAGCGAATCCACCCAACTCGCTGAAGCATGACACATAAGCGCCGCCTTTAGCGACCTGTGCCAACGTTCGATCATACCATTAGATGCTGGGTGATAAGGAGTTGTCCTTACGCGCTTGCATCCAATCAGTTTTGTAAAGGCTTCGAAAATCTTAGATTCGAACTGTGTTCCCCTATCGCTGGTGATTGTAACGGGGGCTCCAAACCTGCTGATCCAAACTTCAAGAAGTGCTTTGATGACGGTTTCTGCATATATGTCTTTCAAGGGTATGGCTTCTGGCCATCGTGTGAAGCGGTCAATTACTGTCAAACAGTATCGATATCCGTTGCAGTATGGCATTACTACGATATCGATGTGTATATGTTTGAAGCGTTCGCTGGGTATATTAATATGCTGTGGTACATTTCTTTCGTGCCTTTGGATTTTACTTCTCTGACAGTGTAAGCAGTTACGAACCCATTTCGTTGTGTCGCGATTCATATGCGGCCACACATATCGTTGGTTGATAAGTTTTTGAGTCGCACGGGCGTTTGGATGCGATAAGTCATGTGCATTCTTGAAAATCGAAAATCGAAGCTTTTCGGGTATGTAAGGGCGGATTACGTTGGTAGAGACATCACAGTAGAGTTCGGTGTTTGAGCCTTCGATCTTCTGTTTACGAAACTGCAGCGATGTTGTGTGTGATTTGAGAAGTTGTTTGAGTTCGTCATCTATCTGCTCAGCTGCGATCCCTTCAGGCGAAAATAAGGTGGGCAAATTAATAGTGTCAATCCTGGACATCGCATCGGCAACGATATGATCTTTACCAGGTACGTGAATAATGTTAGTGGTGAACTGGCTGATATACTGAAGCTGGCGTTGCTGCCGTGGCGAGGCCTTGTCGGATCGTTGTGACAATGCAAAGGACAATGGTCTATGATCCGTATATATAATTAAATATCTACCTTCCACCAAGTGTTTGAAAAACTTTATTGCCTTAAAAATTTACAGCAACTCACGATCATACGTACTGTAATTGCGTTCGGTTTTGCTTAGCTTGCTTGTATAAAACCCCAGTGGCTGAGTTACACCAGATATTGTTTGATCAAGTGCAGCACCGATCGCGTTGTCGGAGGCGTCGCAACGAAGACTTAAGGAAGCATCGGGTGCAGGGTAGGCAAGCTGCACAGCATCGACCAGCGCCTGCTTGCACTGATTAAATGCATGTGTTGTCGAATCATCCCATAT